TTTTTTTTTTTTTTTTTTTTTTTTTTTTTTTTTTGGTGAGGGAGGGGACACCGGAGATGGAGATCGGATCCTTGCTCTTGAGAGGCAGGCGGCAGAACCACGGAGCTCAATCCCCGGCCCCATGTAAAGTATAATCAGTGCTTCTTATTGCACTCATGTCCCTCAACAGGTCTTGAAATGCTCTTTCGTGTCAGTACGAGCACAGTGGAGGGCACAGATTAGCCTTGTCCTCACTGGTGCCTCCATTTCTGCGGGGTAAAAGAATCGTTGCTCCACTCAGCCCTGTGGACCTAGGAAATCAACAACTCAGGGCCAAAGACCCTTGCAGTCAACAAAAACAAGGTAATTAAGATTTAAGGGACAATTATGACCTTGAGAGGAATATGCTTTGCTTGTAAACTGCTCTCTAGTACTCCCTTAAAAATGGTTATGCATGTACATATATGTATAAAATGCTAATACATTATATATATAATGCATATTCATATATAATAAATATTCTGTGGCTAAGTTCACTGTTGACCTTATGGGGAAATTTGATTTGGTTCTTGTCCAATTTGGTCTCTGCCAGAATAGTGGAAAGAATTAAGTTTGTGAACTGAGGTACACTGTAACATAAAATGTATTTATGTATGTAAACATAAAATATATAATACCAAAAACTGCTTAATAAAAAGTGGCTTAATGTCTTGTAATTAATGTCATGTCCTACATATTGAAATATTTTAAATATTTTATTATACTTAAAACTTTTTTTAAAAGTACCATGAAATTTAAGGATCCACTGCTGCTTTGATATGATTTGTTAAAATAAAAATTTGTATGATGATTCCTCCCATTTTTCATTCAATAGTACAAAATTTAAGACCATGTGACATTAGAGAAAGGGTTTTTGTTTTGTTCTGGTTTTTTGTACCAGGATTTGAACTCAGAACTTTGTGCTTGCCAGGCAGGCACAGCACCACTGAGAGACATCTCCGGCCCACCATGTGACAATAGAGTAGGAGAGTGAGAAAATTAAATTATCTGGAAAAGCTCAGGCCTAATTTGCTCTTTTCCCCAATTCTTGGAACTTTCTCCTTTATTTTATCTAGAAAAGCTTGCTTCACTATTGTATGTCTGAGTCTCTTAAAAATTTTATGCAGATGAAGCACACAAACTCATTAGATACATCCTAAATTCCCCGCAGAAAAACTGTAAGTCTGATGATATCAATCAGAAAGTGTTACTTTATTCTCAGAGCAGATGAACTACATAAAACAATGCTGGTCATAAAATGAAGTCTGAGTTATAAACATTTGAGTTTACTTTGCAGTAGAATGTGTCTCTGAAATTCCTCAGAAATCAAAACTAAGGCGAAGGCTAAGCTCCCTGTTGAGTACTTCCAAGCGCTGGATTAGCAGGTAAAATGAGAATCACACTTTCAATAACTATTGGACATGCGGGCGCACATGGACATATCCCCAAGGCTTCAAGTGATATAGATTTTACCACTTCCTTTTATGGTGCAATTTCATATTTCTGACACAGGGAAAACAAACCCCTTAACAAAAGCCATTTGCTTTTAAGCAAATCCAGTCTATTTTCACAGATTTGAGCAGGTCTCTGTCATCTGACTTATCACAGATAACAACAACAACTTTGGTCAATTTCTTCCTCCATCCAAGGCTGGCAGAAGCTCCCAGACGCTGAAGATCTTTGAGTGTATGTGCTATATCTTTACCAGCCGAGCCAGATTTGACCATGTGCATGTTTTATATAAATATGGTTGAAAGCACTTGACTCATAGCAGCCATTGCTTTATCAATTTTTTTCTTTTTCGTTTTCTTTTCCATTCTGCCCTATCTCTCTTCCTTTCTCTCTTCTCACTCCCCAACTCCTTTTTATTTATTTATTTATTTTTTAACACTGGGCAAAGTCACTGTTTAGACTTGTGTCGTAATAGTCTGCACTTTTCAGAACAAACATTAACCTAAAGTACTAAGCCTCAGTAGCAGTCACTTTTGTCCTTTCTGGCACTCAGCCCTTATATGAAAATTTTTAAATAAACATGCATTTTATACTTTTTTTTTAATCTGCAAGGAGAGTTTGGGTACCCTTGAATCTATAGGATTTAAAATATCCTTAGTAGGAAGACAAAAAAAAAATTTTTTTCAGATGGAGCCTTGCTAACTATTGGGGAGGATGGGATGAAGTCCCCTTTCTGAATGTTTCAGGAATGGGCAATGGAGGAGCATTTTTCCCAGAGAGCAGATGGTCAGGGTAACTGTGTGGAGGGACAGACACAGGAGGCTCAGCCCTGCGGCTTTTCTGTAGCCTCAGGCATTTTGTGGCTCTAGTGATTTCTCAGTTTTGTTCACATTGCTTATTTTGATAGCATTTCCACATTTTCTGATTTTAATTGTACCTCCATTCAAGCCTATCTTAACACTGATCAAGAAGCTGGGGGTAGTCATGCATGGTGGCTCATGTCTGCAATCTCAGCTGTACAGGAGGCTAAGGCAGGAAGATCGCAAGTTCAAGGCCACCCTGGGCAATTTAGTGAGAGTCTGTCTCAAATAAAAAATAAAAAGGGCTGAGGATGTAGCTCAGTAGTACAGCAATTGTATGAAGTCCTGAGTTCAACTCCGGTACTGGAAAGAAGGAAGGAAAGAAGGGAGGGAGGGAGGGAAGGAGGGAGGGAGGGAGGGAGAAAAACTGGCGGGGACTAAAGAACTAATCTTAGAGGGCAGACAGTACTGGCTAAGGATCAGTCTCTCCAGTTTCCCATTCTGAAGTTTTAACGGCCCTAATGTACTTATTCCACACGGAAGAAAGATGTTTAAGTGGGTATTGGTCCTCAATCCCCCTCCCTCCTGGCCTGCCGCGTCAGGTCCTGGAAGCCACAATATCACTGTGTAATTATGGTGAGCAGGCATCCGGTGCCATCAGAGAATTTTATCTGAAATATTTTATGGGGCAACCCACTTTCTGGTCCCCCTTCTGTCTCTTTTAGACAGGAGCTTTCTTTCCCTCAATAAATTTTTGCTGCTTGCTTTTTTATCCTGCTTTTGTACTTTTTTCCAACTTACAATCTGAGTTGTTTTTTTTTTTTTAACAATATTCCAAAACACAGAGCAAATAGATACATGTTAACTATTTAAAGTGAAGAGGATGTGGCATGAAAGCACTGTAGTCCTCTCCTGGGAAACAATAGCAGGCATGGTTTCCAGTCCCTCGGGAATATACACCTCACCATGGAACAAGTAAGAGCAGATAAAATCAAAATGATCACGTAGTAGCTAGGAGCTCAGAGGAGCATCTTAGGATTGCAGTGTCCTGGACTCGAACCCCTACTTCACCACTCACCATTGTGTGAGCGTGGCCTTTCCGCTCTGTTCCTGGGGACTATCTACCCTGCCTTACGGGGTCGTTGTGGGCATTAAATAGAAAAACAGGTGTAAAGAGCAGCGGCTCACACGTAGGCAGTGCGATTTCGGAGAGATGATTACTTTGACGCAGTGAAATAATTTCAAATTTATGCAGAACTTCGCAGGCCTATCTGTGCAGAAATACAATAGTGCTTTTCAGGCAGCTTCCCATAAGCTTCACCGATGAGAAGGAACTGCTTGGCAGTCACCACTGCCTTCTTCAGGTGAAACATCACCTTCTTCAGAAGCAGTTAAATGTCTCAACCCGTTTTTTATTTGGCTCCTTTTATATTAATGATCGCTATAACGTTGTCTTTTTTAAAATGAGGAGAGTTGAGCCACTAGGAGGTAAGTTCTCAGTGGTGGTTGGCAAACTCAGAGAGAGGTAATATTCTCTTTCTCTTGGGGGGTTAAATCCTCAGTATCCTAATAATCCCTCCCCCAAGTACAATCTTGTAACTAATCCTAGCCCCCAGTAGTTACAAATATATCCAATCTAAAGCCCTTTATGAATTCAGACCAGGCAGCTGAATCACTCGCAGCTGAAATCTGGTCCATGGAAGACTTCTGTGCAAAAAGCACAGCCTTTACAGAGGTTTCAATAGCAGAAGAGCTCACTGTCGTGCTTGTTAGCGTCTTGCTCCAGTACACAGAAAAATTGATTCTTTTAGCAGGTCAAATTATTTTTGTATTTTGCTTTTTTCATGCATGGTAACTCCATTCTTTTACCTGGTCAGTTCCTTTAAGAAAGATCCAGTTAGGGGAGCTGCATCTTATTATCTTCTGCCACCAATGCATGCTGCAAAGACAGTTTAATTCTTAAAGGGAGAATCATTTAAGTGTGACCTATTGTGTTAGTCTGGGTGCTTTTCACATCGAGTACTGGGAGTTAAAGAGGTCTTTAATTTGTCTGAACCACACTGATAATTTACACTGAACTTAAGGCACCCACTGCCTTTTCCAAACAGCCAAATGATTCCAAGAACTTCTAATGTGAATTTTAAATGATACAAATTCTTTAGCTAACATCTATGATGCCTAGACTAATACAATAGCTCATAGGAAGACTGCCACATGGCTCAAATGATTTCCTCAAATTGTGCCCTTGTTGCCTCTAAGACAGTCCACTTAATTAAAACTCAACTTGAGCCCTGGTCTACATTCATTCATTAACAGTATTATTGTGGTGGTCCAAATACACAAAAGCAGTGAAGTTCTAGAACTGTGGTCTAGAGGACAGGTCATGAAAAAAATGCAGCACATATAGAAAAGGAGTAGTAGAGACACAGCTGATAACAGATAGAGAACATTACCGCACATTGGCCATAACTGACCCTTTGAAATGGAGCAGAGTAGGAAGATATCATAATAGAACAGCTAATATATATGAAGCATTCACTGTGACAGAGTTATTGTCAACATATGTTATTGAATCCTCAACATGTCTAGGAAGCACATACTATCCTTAGTCTCTCTGGAAAGTGGGTTTTGAGAAGCTATGATTTGTCTAATACTCCAATGATAGAAAGCAGAAAAGTGGAGGTCCAGTCTGCCTCACAGCAATACCCATGCCCATAACCACAGTGCCAGCCCGCCAGCCTTTCAACAGGGTGAGCATGGGCTGCATGTGGCTGTAACTGGGGCTTCTGTGAATATCGAAAGTGGTGGGCTAGATCAAAGGTGTTACGTGGCCCCCGAGTCATACAGCTAACCATATGATGTTTCATCCAGCATGATCCTGAAACAATTTGTCAGGCCTGTTTTTGGCCAAGAAGCCCCTGGTCCTATTGGGCTTCACTATGATTTTCCATATTGTGTTCTTTTGATTTGGGTCCTCTGTTGTGACCGAGATTAACATGAAAAACATATAGAAAACAAATTTTCTCGGGGAGCTTGCAGGTTTTTAGGATTCTTGGTAAAGCCCATGTGTGCCGCAACCCTGCTTCTTGACAACTGCTAGGATGTTGCATTACATTACCATTCGGCTTGGTCTGAAGCAATGAGGCAGAAGGGCAGAAGTACATATTCACAGAAGACTTGGAAACACCTTCTGCCACCAATGATCTATTTGTGAAAACCTTTTCACACAAGAAACACTTCTGCTGAACCTTGGGCGAAAGGACTCACAGTCACAGCTGGAAGGACATTCTTCACCTTTCACTCTCTCTAAGACCTAGGGTGCCCTGATTCTCTGCACTAAGGTCAATGTTGACTTAGTGAAGCTGAAAGTTGGGAGGATTGTCTCTATTGCTTGGGATACTGAATTAATGAAATAATTAAGACAAGAGCATGGTTTTAAAAATTAACTAGAATGTAACTCAGAATTCAACATTACTGCTGTAAATGTGCCCCATGTCTAATGATCCCTTTGGCTTTGAGAGATTTTCTTAAAATACTAACCTACATAAAAACTTGGGTAAGAGGCTTGACTTTGAATAAGTTGGCAGGGAATCCTGGCGTGGAGCTTCACTTCCATTCCCACCTTCCAGTTTCTCTCACCCAACCCTCGAAAGGCCATCATGTCCTCCCAGGGCCTTGTCTATGTTTTGGCAAACTCTGAAACTGATGACATGGTGTGGGGAGGGGGCAGTGACACCGGGGGAGTCCTCCTTCCTGATTCGGAGATGTTGCTTAAATGGTCAAGCAAATACTCATCTTCAGAGTCGCCTTTCTGGGGCACCACCAGGTGACAGGTTAATAGGTAGTTTTCCCTGAGAGGGAAGAACAAGAGGCCCACTTTGTAATTCTAGGGTTCAAAGAGCTGGGAATGTAGCCCAGGAGTGGAGCGCTGCATATATATGCTGCATGGCCCCCGCTGCATGCTAATTCTGCTGTTCCAGATGGTGGCTGACACCTTGCATACAGGCAAACCATGCTCTTTTGATCTTTATAACACACAAGTTGGGGTCTTGTGGGATTCGGCTAGGAGCTTGGTATATTCATCTAGTAGTGACCCCTATTCCTGTGACGTCTGAGCTCTCAGCAAGTGGCTGCCTCTTTGTATTCTTTGGCTCTCAGCTGAAAAGTCAAATCCCGATTGTGGTCTTTTGTGGTTCCCCTAGCTAACTTTGGTGCCTGGTTTTTCTCCTTCAGATGATGTTGGTCTTTCTTACATATAAATCCAACATGATTTCACAAAGGCTGTTTATTCTCTTACTCGTTTCTGGTCTCTCTTTGCTACTAGTAGGTAAGACCCTACAAGGCCTTATCTGTCTTATTCACCACTGTTTAACAGGATGGGTTATATGGCAGGTGCTCGGTAAATACTTTCTCCATAATAAACTAAACCTAACATTGATCATGATACATTATATTCACGTGCTCTTTCAAGGCTAGATTTACAGTCACTGTGTCATCTGAGTCTCACAATAGCATGAAGAGACTGGGCAAATATTATCTGAAGTTTATGATACTGAAACCAAACGGAGAGATCGGGCTCCTAGAATTCGGACCTTTGTGTGGCCTCCTCCCATATGCAGAGGGACTGGCACATATAACCAGGTAGTGCAACCATGACTCCAAGGCGAGATCATAAGACATTGAGTCTTTTGCCCCACCATCTTGGACCACTCACACTGGGAAAGTCAGCTGCCTTGTAGTGGAGACACTCAAGCAACACGATGGAGGGGTCCGCTTGGGAGGGACTGAGGCTGCCCACCAGCACCCCACACCAACATATAAGCTGGGGAAATGAACATAGCCCTGCTTCCAGATGACTACAGCCTTGGCCAACATCTTGGTTACAAGCTCATGAGGGAAACGGAGCCAGCATCCTCAGCTAAGCTCTCTTGAATGTCTGACTTAAACCCACATAGCAAATAGATAGAACTTTTAAGCCACTAGGTTGGGGAGTGCTGAGTTGTGCAATATAGCTAGCTAATATTCCAACTCTCAAAGAGGCATGCCGGTTCTTAATCTTCTCTCTTCATCTTTCCTCTTCTTCACCACCTAGCCTCACCTCCCCACCTCCTGCCAGAGAAACTTGGTGTATGTGTGCAGGAAATTTAGACGAGAAACCAACATGTAGTATGTGCTCAGTGCGACTCCAGTTTTCTGTCGCCTGACATCTCCCCTGAGCAACATCAGTCACAGCCATTCGCTTCATCTGGAAGAGATGAAACCTAACCAGAAGCTGCTCAAGAGACGAGGCACCTTCCCTAGGTCAAAGTCAGCTGCCGTGTGTCCTGGGAATCTGTTCTGCTTGAAGACATCGTGATTGGAGGTTGAGAGGTGCATGGGGAGCAAGAACGACACAATTTTAATTTGCACTTTGGGCTTTTACAGAAAACATATTCCACTGGATCTGACTGAAATGCCATTTGAATATATACAGAATGGAAATCTGAACAAAATCACATTTGTTCATGAATTCTTTTTATAATGCCAAACACAAACTTGACTTAGAAAGGGCAAGCTGATCTGTCACTCTGGGGATTTGAATATATGCCCAGGCTAATCATCCTGCCCATGACGATAGTGGCTCGTATAACAGCCCCTGGTCTCCCTGCTCCCTCCCCAAGCCCTTGCTGCATCAGTTTTGGGGGTGATGCCTGTTAAAGTGGTCATGTGGGCCCAGCTGGTATTTCCCCCTTCTGCCTGGATGAGCAGTTGGCCAAACTATGGGCTTTCAGTGACCGGGGCCAGAGTTTCTCCCAGGGTAATGGACAAGAGGCACGGAAAAAATGTTTCCACCTACTTCTGTCCTTATCACAGCTGCACTTGCCATTGATGGGTGATGGATTTTACCACAGACACAAAGTCATGCTTTATGAAGTTATTCTCGTTGTACCCTACAAGCAGGGATTCTCCCGGGTGTTGATGCGTCTGGGCAAGCCCAGTATCTCAGGTCCCTGGTTGTCATGTCAGTGCCATCCATTTCTACTTTCCCGAAGTCCAGAAACATTTAGCCCATGCTCCAGGGAGATGGAGGGCCAAGGGAAGAACGCGACCCTACCGCCGATAAACTGTGCACTCTGAAACACTGTGTTTAATTCCTCAGAACCTCAGTCTTCATCTATACGTACTTACCCAGCTTACAGGAGAAAACACGCGGGGCCCTTCTTGAATTTGCATGTCAGTCACTCATTCAAATTCTTATTAAAAGTTTTCTGTGTGCCAAGTAGTGTTCTGTGTTCTGGGAAGAATAAAAGTGAATAAGCGATGGAAGGTGGGGAGGAGATGCTAACCTCGGTTACTTTACAAAGTGATCTTTTAGCCAGGCATGGTGGTTCTGCAATCCCAGAATTCAGAAGACTGAGGTGAGAATCACCATGAGCTTGAAGCCAGCCTGAGCTAAGGAGTGAGTTCGGAGTCAGCCTGAACTACAGAGCAAGATCCTGTCTCAATCCCCCTCAAAACTGAAAACAAAACAAAAGAGTGATGCTTTGACTAGAAACTGTTAAGACTAAAGACAAACAAAGTTATCCTATGCTTATTCTAGTTGGCCAATTATCTCACAGGCACATAGGTTAATAGTTATGAAATTTCTTTACACATATATCGAGAACGAACACATGAGTGAAAGGAGGGTGCATGGTGGGAACTAAATTCCTCACAGTTTAAGTAGAAATTTATAGGCAAGCAAGTCTAGAAGGCTAGAATGAGCCGTGTGGGACCCGATTAGACACAGCAACATCGGGGTGAACTCATGTTCAGTGCATACAGACCCAGAGGGGTAGAGGAAAATAACAGATGTATACATTACATGGGTTATGTCAGACACATCTATTTCGTTTGTTCACTGAAAGGGCTTGGAAGCAGTGGCACTCTGGGGCACTCCAGTGTCCGGAACTCGGCATCAGATCTCACTTTTCAGTAAAGGGAACCGAGGGCTCCTTGGAGGAGTGATTTTTAGGCTTGGGTGGGGAATCTGGAAAATAAGCCTGCAGCATTTTTTATTGATTAAAAAGTAAGAAAGAACTTAAAAGATAAAGAGATGAGAACATATCTGTGATACCTAGGACCCCAACCTAAAGAGCTTTTTCACTGGCCAAAGCTGGAACGGTTTTGACAGAAAAATATGTAGCACAATGTTAGATTACAACCCAAAGTATAATAAATATCAATGGATCCATACTGACAGAATAATTGAATAAATAAATGAATGGGAGGGATATCTTTCCTGTACAAAAGAAACTCCCAAGTAATTTATGTAGATGCTCCCTCCTCAAAGAGGTGGAGCTTATTCCCCCCACCACAGATACCTGGAGTGTCTTAGTGTGAGCAGTGCTTAGTAATTTACCTCTGTAGAGTGTAGTGGGGACAGGACAGACTTCTGATACATTAATGCTGTCTGTGATGCGTCATACTGATATGCACCCTTCACACAAGGTATGAGAAAAGCACCTTACCTTTGAGATCTTCCTCTTCAAAATACATTGACTTCAGCATAACCACAAGAAAACATCAGACAAACCCAAAGGCGGATTTTCTACAAAATTCCAGCAAAAACCTCCTCAAAACGATTACCAAGGTCTCCAAAAACCATGGAAAGACAGAAATCATCACAAAATAGAGGCATATCACATGTGAACGTACTGTGTGTCCTAGAAAGGAACCTGGGGTGGAAAGAAGGATGTCAAAGAAAGCCAAGAAAACCTTAAAAAAGTAAGGAATTTAATTAACAGGAATGGGTCAGTGTTGGCTCTGGGTTGTAGTTAATGTACTGTAGGAATTAATGTACAATCTTCACAAAAACTGGGTGCAGAATATACATGAACTGCTTGAGCTGTCTTTAAAACTGTCCTGTAAATCTAAAAATGATTCTTCAAAATTTGACAAGAAAAAGTAAGTGTCAGGCCCTACCTGTCAGTCAACACCCTTTGGAGTTGCCTCTCATCAAATAGTCACAAATTTTTTGCGAACTCTGGTTAATGGCTTGGAACCATTGAGAAAGCAATGCACAGGGGCCCTGAATGAAGACGACTGAAGACTGTGGCAGCGCTGACCTCACATATGAGGAGAGGCAGCTGCCCAGAGAGTGCTGTTCCATCCGAAGGAGGGACGGGAGCTTGCAGGATTGAGGGTGGGAGGTGGGAAGGTTTGAGCAGAGGAAACAGCATGTGCAAAATTCTACCACTTTGAGCTATTTCAAATGTCCTGGTCTCAATCTCCTTGTGTACTGTAGGGGTTAGAAATCAAAACTCTGCAGGCCAGGTACTAAAACTCTATTTGCTTGGTTTCCTAATATGCAAAATGGAGATAATAACTCTTACTTTACAACTCTGTTTCAAGAAATGAAAGACACAATGGATACAATATGCTAGGCATAATATCTGGCTTTATACTCAATACCCAAAGAAGGATAGCTGTTAATAATGATAACACTATTACCATCAAAACTGTAATGGATGGGATTATGCCTACATTTTTTTTCCAGCTATAGGATTCAATGCCCCATCAGCTCTAGGTGTTGCATAGAAGGAAACAGGGTGAAATGATAGCATAAAGGATGTGGATGTAGGTATTGTCACTTTCTACCTGAAACCCTAACGGTAATGAAGAGCTAAAGTTCTTTGAAAAGAAAGCATCAAAAATATTCAAGGGAAATTGGGATGTCAATATGGTATGGAAACCCAAAACACATAGTACAACAAATAAATTCATTTTCAGGGGAAGGGGAGTAGGTAGCTTTTTTGTCTTGGGTCCATTTCTAACCAGAATAAGTCCTTTTATAATTTCTCGCTACTTAAGAAAAATGAAGCAGCTTCAAAATACTTTGGCTTTTCTGAATCCAGATGCTATAATTCAGACATAATTTTTGTGAATATGATTAGAAAGAACTGCTTCCTGATGTCATGCTCATGAGACTAGCATGGAGAAGAAGCGTTCCTCTGGAGGGGCCATAGGATGCCACCCCACATTTAGTGTGAGGAATGAGATATAAGTCATGACGAAATTTACCTCAGGTCAGAGATAAGACCATAAAGAAACACTTATTTCCTTTTCCTTGTGAAATCATTTTACCCCTAAACCACAAAATCCCTACGTGGTATAAAACCTTCAATTGTGATGCATCATGAAATGAAGTTCTATTTATTCATAAACCTAAATTACAGAAAAAAATTCAGCTAAGGCTACAGTTAACAAATATCCTGGCAGTCAAAACAACATCAGTTACAACGAAAACAATTCTAGCTTAACCTATACCTGACCATAGTATGATTTCTACGAAATTATCTAAGAGCAGGGAGAAAGGGTTAAGTCTGTGAAGCAATTCATTTTTCAGCCACTAGCTGTGGAATCCTGGGTAATTACCACGGCTTACCCCAGACCACACCTTAGATAAACCTGTAATGCTGGAGTTTCCTGCAAACATTGTCTTTCCTACAAGCTGTGGCTTGTCTCTTTCATATACTTGTCCTATGTTTTCAACCCAATTTCTCAGTGGCTAGTTTATACCCAGGAGAGCCAACAAACCAGGGTCTGTTGATTTAGCTTCATATCTTCTTGGTGCTTGCGTGAGGCAACCAGGCCAGCTATGTGCTAACAAACATGGGCCGGATGAATTATTCTACTATAGGGATAACATATTTTTAAAAAGAGGAGGAGCTGGTTCAGGGAAAGGTTATGATTTAATTTCTTTTCTTTTATTCACTATTTTTTTCAAATAATAAATGTTTTATGTGGGATTGCAACTTTAGTCTCATTTTACTTTTAAAAGTGAAGGTTTAATTTTTATTTTAAGAGACTGTTTTGTGTGCAGTATAAGAACACAGCCTTAGAGCAAGGTGTGTGTTTGGTGTGAGAAATGTAAGTGTGTCCTGAGGAGGCTGTTCTCTGCCATAGTGCTGCATAGAAATGGAGAGGGAAGGAGCCACTGCCAAGCTGTGCCAATCTATGAAGAGTACAAAGGAGAGTGGTTTGTGTTTTAGGTTTTAGTAATTACAAACTATCAGTTATATCTCATGGTTGTGTTCCTCTGAGGAAAAAAATTTACATGACATCCAGGTTGATGGGGACATATCTTTTATCTTTGAAAAGTGGAGCTCCCTGCCAGCTCCCTCATCCCACCACCAGCATGACCACCAGGCTTGGAGAAAGTGAAGTGTCTGAACACAGGCAAGAAAAAGAAATGTCCCTTTCGAAACTTTTTGAGCCCTGTAGGGTTAGAAACAGTGGTACATGGATCGATCAATTCATTTCAGTGTTGTATGTTAGATTGGAAAGTCGACAGGAGACACAGGCATCTGTGTCTGATGTGTTTGACACCTGAACAGAGGTTCCAGTGGCCGTAGGATTACCAGCCAGCCCAGTGCACCTCAGATGACCTCTAGTTACCCCCTGGATAATCGCCATTATCAACATCACCCAGTACCTCTTATACACATATCAGTCAAATTACTCTAACTAAATAGCTTGGGCACTATCTAGCTGAGGAAATATTTGGGAAATAGAAATTTTTATTGGGCTGGGATAGATGAAAGAATAAGTTTTGAGCCAGAATGCTCATAGGGTGAGAGCAGTAAAGGAAGTAAAACACATGGAATCAATTTTTATTTCAGAAGTAACAAAAACACAAGGCAACAAGCAATAGTATCAAAAATATATAAAAAATTTAAAGTGAACGATATCCCCCTGAGATTAACCAGTATCAATAGCCCAATGCAGACATTTTGGAGTCCAAAAAGCCACAAAGAAAATGCACAGAGAACTGTGAAAGGGAGGAAGTGAGGCAGGAGGGAAAGCGATTCGAGTTCAGGAAAAGGGGCACACATACACAAACACAAACACACACACACACACACACACCACTAACGTGTCCTCAACAGTCCTCAGTCATAATGATGCTAAACTCTACAAGGGGAAGGCTGGGAATTCAACTTCCCCTAGGTCAACCACACTGCCCTACTTATTCTCTTATCGACTCACAAAATCTACTTGAGCTTATGTTCTTCCTACCTAATCTCTGTTTTCCCCACACCCATGAAGACAGAAAAACAACAAAATAGGAAATGACTCTCTGCTACTGTTCTCTGAGAAGAGGCTACTAGGAAGCTCTGGCTTCCTCAGATCCAACTAAGACCTTGGCATCCTGATTCAGAAATGTTAGACATTACTTTCTCCAGAAATCAGGAAGGCCAAAAGGTAGGATGGAAGGCTGCTCACTGA